TGCTTCAAATCCTAACATTTGAGCAAGAGACAATTTATGATAAAATTATTAATGTTGTTGAATTTGATAAAGGAGGTATTTTTTTCTGTATGGATATGACAATATTGGGAAAACATGTGTTTGAATCGGAGGACAGCTTTTGCTTTGTTAAGATCTAAAGGTAAAATAGTTATCAATGTAATATCTAGCAAGATAGTTTTTCTATTACTCTCAGGAGGATAGACATCTCACTCACAATTTTATATTCATCTTTCTGTGACTAAAGACACTATATGCAACATGAAACAGGGGAATAATTTGGTTGAATTATTTGTTCACACCTTATTGAATATATGTGATAAAGCTGCAAGGACACCTAAGTTTTGTTTTGAAACTCTTAACAGATGCTTAAGGATATTTTAAAGTTAAGTAACCTATTAATTGGTGGTTTTCCTTTGGAGGAGAAGTTGTTGTGTTTAGTAGGGATTTCAAGTAAATCCTTTATGTTATTCTAGGTAGGTCAAGAGAATACACTGCTTTTTGCTACCATTAACTCTTCCTACATGAGACAATTGTCAACTCTTTACACTAATAAGATACACGATACTTCTAATAATAAATAATGAATATATGTCAGTGTTTTTCATAATTTTACTAATAGGATTATCTCAATTGATAATGAGATTGCTGTTGGAGTTAATGAAGAATTTGTAGATATTAAGATCTCAATTGATTTCTTATTAGATGTTTAGATAATCTAATAAAGTTCATTATTAATCTGACGTTCCTAGGTTTCCTTAACAATATTTATAATTCTTTATATTTTAGAGATAGGGCTATATTAGCTCTTATGTTGGCTGTGGTTAAATAAGTAAAAGTGTACATTTTGTCCCAACTACCTGGAAAAGAAGTTGTGCACTTGAGCTATGATAGTGTTGTGAAAGATGATGGCGACATGAATTCACTCGATGACTTACACTCTATAAATTTTCTAAATTCTTACAAAGTTAAGCCTACTAAATAGTGAAATAAGGCTTAAAGTTGGTGCCTTAATTATTTTAATGTAGAACATTGATAAGTCTATAAGGTTGTGCAACGGTACATGTCTCATAATTACATGAACTAAAAAACAAATTATTAAGGCTCAAGAAATGTTTAGGTCAACTATAGGGGTGAAAATATGTATATTGCATGTTGTTATGTGTCCATCTAATTTCAAGTTACCATTTACTAAGAGAAGGAGACAGTTTCTTTTTATTTTTGGTAGAAAATGGGGCAAAGCCTAAACATTATTGTTCACTATTATACAAAACAAGGGACTGAAATCTCCTAAGAATCTTGATTCACTAAAGAGCTATTACATTAGGAGCCAGTTTCTTCTCATGTTGGTCTTTGCAATAATCATTGATAAGAGCCAAGGTTAGAGCCTATATCATGTTAGTTTGTACCTACCTTATGCTATTTTCACCCATAGATAGTTATACATTATTGTTTCTCATGTTCGAAGCATGGGGGATTTACAAATATTAGTTCTTGATGAAAATGGTTGCTCTACAAATATAACTTCTAATGTTATTTATAGGAAAGTCTTCAATAATTTAATCTAATTAATTATGAATTTTTGTTAATATGCTTCCTATTGTACCGATTTAATAGTATGCGTTTAGTTTTTACCATTTATTTTACTCTAATATATATATATATATATATATGCATATTTAATATTTAAAACAATAATTTCATGGCCCCATTATGTATATGATGATATGAAGGTGTTTATTGCAAGTTATTCTTTCAAGAAAGATCTTTCTACGACATTAACTTCTATTTGTAAAACTGTAGTATAAGATGCACAGATAGTTAGATACTTTACTGGTAAATAGTAAAATAAATTTTAAATTTTACCCATTTTTATGCTCCTCCCTATCTTTCTCTCTCTTCCTCTTTTTCCCTCCTTGCTTTGCAATCACATTACTTCTAGTATTGATTTTTGGGATGAACAGAGACAAGAAAGAATTGATATGATAGAAGAAAAACAAACATATAGTAATTTTGCAAGAAGTGGAAATTACCTAACTAGTACATCTCAAAGGCCCTGTTTGGCATAAGGTATTGCATTTTAAAGGATTGAGAATGGAATTAGGATTAGAAGTGAGATTAGGAGTGACATTGACTTTTAAAAATCATGTTTGGTATGACATGAGATTAAAAAAAATGAGATTGGGATTAAAAATTGTAAAAAAGACTTAAATACCTTCATCTTTTTCTTTCCACCTTTCCATCTTCATTGTGCTTCACTTGTCTGAAGAAAACCCAAAAAACAACCATAAATTTAAGAAGCATAAATTAAAGATCTAGGAGTTAGAGAATCAATCGGTAATACGGCAAGAATGAAGGCGATGGCAACAAATCCAAGCCCACGATGATGTTGGTGACGACTGACGATGAAGAACCCAAAGGTCGTGAGCAACTGACGAGGTGACGACTGACAAGGTTGCGAGCAGTAACGATAACAGTGTTGGGGCAGTAGTTCAACCAAGGCAACAATTGATGAGGTCGCGAGCAATAACGGCACTGACCAAGGCAACAATTGATGAGGTCGCGAGCAATAACGGCAATAATGTTGGGGCAATAGTCCAACCATGGCAACGACTGATGAGGTCATGAGCGACAACAGCAACAATGTTGGGCAGTGGTTCGACCATAGTGACGACTGATGAGGTCGTGAGCGAAAACAAAAATAATATTGGGGCAGTAGTCCGACCATGGCGATGACTAACAAGGTCGCAAGCGGAAACAACAATAGTATTAGGGCAATAGTCTGAACACAGCGATAATTGACGAGGTCGCGAGTAGAAACAGTAATAGTGTTGGGGCAGTAGTTTGACCACGATGATGATTGATGAGGTCGAGAGCGGAAATGGCAACAGTGTTGGTGTAGGAGTCCAACCACAGCAACGATAAAGAACCCAAAAACTCAGATCTAGAAGCGAACAATGGAGATGATGAAGAATTGAAACTCAAATCTAGAAGAAAGGATGGTGAACACCTGAATTAGAATTGAACGCAACCACGACACAATACCTTCAACCACAACAACGATGGGATCTCTTTAGATTATTGTCAGATTGTTGACTCTGAACGAGGGCAATTTGGTCTAAAAAATCAATCCCAGTATTGTTTTTGTAGTATCAGGGGGTAGGTGGCTTTGTGTAATCCCACATAACATGGGGACTGGGTTTGGCATTGGCTTCACTAATGATGCACATCAAACATAATAAGTTGGGTTTATTTAATCCTAATCACAATCCTACCTTTCTAATGCTTTCTACCAAACAAGGCCAACAGGTTTTGACCGGCTTGGCTCTTTGGTACAATCTATATTTAAAGTGCTTGTTTTTAATTAAAACAAAACTCGTGCATTATTTATAAATTATTTATTCTATAATATTATATTATTAATATATTAAAATTTACTTATATTGACTTAATTAGATAAAAATATATTAAGCATCTAAAACTATGTATTTAAGTTTTTCTATTGATATTTTTACCAGCCTTCTAATTTTAATAACATTTTTTTGGCCAAATAAATTAATTCTAACATTGATACATTGCTTTTAACATTATTTTTTTAGCTATATATACAAAGTTCAAACCCTTAATTTGATTTGTAAAAAAGAGAGGGAAGCTTATATATTTAGTCAATTAATTTTATATATTTAAGGTGTCCCTTCTCATGATAATTTTTCAGTTATTTTTAGATAAACTTTTATTTCCCCTCATTATCAAAGTAATTGATAACCATTGTCATTTCATACATCAATTTCATGAAGTTAAAGTTAATTAAAACTCTCTCAAGTCTACTTACAAAGATTAATTCGATTAGTAACAATTTGATTCACAATATATAAGGCTGTAAGATTAAATTTCATTAGTAATATAAAAACCTTATTGGTAAGTGATTTGTAAGTATATTTATAAGTGCTCTTTGAGCATGAAGACATATCCTGGCTTTAGTAAGCTCTACGAGGACCTAACTCACCTAAGCTTTTTTGTATAATTAAACAAATACAACCCTCTCAAGTTTTTATCAGGATAAATGAGCAAATTACCCTTTGAATTTTAAATCAAGTAATTACATAGACCTTAGACTTATTTTTTATGCAAATTGTTTCCTCAACTTTTGAAAATGATGCAATCTTGCCCTTGTCATTAATAAAAATTAACTTTAACTATTAATTAATTAAAAAATAATAGAAGTGACCTAAAAAATTATAGAAATGAACCAAAAAATTAAAATAAATGATCCAAAAACTTACAAAAAGTACCAAAAAAATTTAGGTCATTTTCTGTAATTTTTGAGATCCTTTTCTACCATTTTCTAGTTAACTAACATTTAAAGTTAACTTTTTTTAATGGCAAGGAGCCATGTTTCATTGTTTTCAAAAATTAAGAAAATAATTTGTACATTAAATGAATTTGTAATCTATGGTGCTATTGAATCTAAAGTTCATAAAGTAATTTATTTATTTATCCTTTTTTATTATAAGGTGTCTCCTATAAGATTTTTTTTTAGTAAGTCACATAAAGGATTATTAATTAACATGTTTAATCTTACCCCCATTACAAAATACTAAAAAAATTAATTTTAATTTAGTGTCCGTGTATGGCTGCCTAAATGCTGTGTGGTTCCTGTCTTTTCTTTCAAACTTTTGCTTTGCATGGGAGAGAATGCAACATTTTCCAAAAAAAAAAAATCTTTTTATTTTTCTAAATTCATATTTTTTTAATAAGGAAAAGGTTAGAAAGTCTTTTATTTTAAATTTTTAAAATATATCTAATGAGTTAATCACTCTTCCCTAATTTTGACGAGATGTGGCATTTAAAGTGACTTATAAGGGTTAGAGGAAATATTTTATAACACATGTAGATTCTATCTGGTTTTGAGTGGTGAGTCGTGAAAAGTTTAATCTTAAACTAATTATTATAATAAAATTAAAGCCCTTAACAGCTTAATCTTAGGGTTCAACAAAATTAAATTAAACATCTAATAACAACATTGAAGTAATGACTATAGAAACTAGATCAATATTAAAAAAAAAAAAAAAGGCACACACATGATCCTAGAATTAAAAATAAGACATACAAGCTATAATTAGTCAACCTTAGCTTCCTTTGTGGCACCAACACACACACACACATATTATTCGTCCCCAAAGAGCACTAACCATCAATCCAAGGACCTTTCTTGGGCTTCCCCGAAGTCCTTAGAGCCTTCCAAACAACACTATTGCACTTAAAACCAGACCCATACGCAATCTGGCAAACCCTATCACCTTTCTTGACCTTCAAGTTAGCTTCAAGATGAGCCAACTCATACCAGATGCTGCTGCTAGAAGTGTTCCCAAACCTCTCCAAAGTCTTCCTCGACGCCTCCATGTAATCCTCCGTGAGGCCCAGGTTGTTCTGGATCTCATCCAGAACCTTCTTGCTCGTTGCCGACAGACACAGGTGCTCGAAGGCCAGCTTGTAGTCCGGAATATATGGCTTCGTCTTCTTCCTCTTGGACATGAGATTCGTGAAGAAGTTAACCTGCTCGGACACGGGAAGAACCAGAGGACCTAGAGTCGTCATGTTGGCTTTCAATGCATGACCTCCTACTTCAATGGCGTCTTTGCTTACTGAAAGCCCTCTCCTTCCTGTACTGTCTTCCCTCATTCGTATGCTCTTGAAGCTCTTGTTCTCCATGCCCTTGTGAGTTCGAACCAGCTGCCCCACACACGCACAGACACACAGACACACAGACACACACACACACACACAGTGCATTAAACATCTGTCACAAGCTGTTAATAATTCAGATCCATCAAACCCCACACACACACACCTGTTTGAGTTCATACTTGGCACGCCATCGATCTAGGAGAAAATTAGAGAGCATAATAGCAGAAGCTCCCATTCTAAAGAAGCAATTGGGAAGAAGCATGTCGATATCGTTACCTCCATACCAAGCGTAGTTCACAGACTCGGTGCTGACAACTAGGGCATAAGATCCAGGGTAAGCGTGTAGAAGGTCTCTTGCTAGATCGACGGCGATGATTCCGGCGGAGCAACCCATACCACCTAGGTTGAAGCTGTGGATGTCGTGGCGGAGCTTGAAGTGGTTGATGATCATGGAGGAAAGTGAGGGGGTCGTGTTGAGAATTCCACAGTTGACGACCAAGATTCTGATGTTGCTGGGCTTCACCTTCGTGGATTCCAGAAGATCCTTGACTGCTCCGAACATGACCATGGACACTTCTTGTCGAGCTTCGTTGAGAGAGGTTCCGTAGCCAGGACGGAACACTGACCTTGGCATGTAAGTCTCGTCGCCGATTCCAGATTTCTCTAAGGCTCTTTCCTGAAACTCTATGGCCGCGTCGTTGAAATTCCCAGACTTTCTAGCAAGCTCTATGAACTCAACCTTCGATATCTGCATTAATAATATATTCGTTACACAACGAGTGGCTTTGAAGAATACTGCAAGAGCTTTATTAAGAACACATGCATGTGTACATACCTTGAATTCATTGGGAGGGCAAAAGCAAGCAAAATCAAGCAGGTAGGTAAAACGGGAAGTGGAATTAGAATAAAAATAAATGAGGCAAAAGAGTGGTAAAACAAAGAGGACATGATAATGAGTAGTGAAATCCCACAAGGCATTATTGTTCCAAGTGAAGAACTGGTTCGTGCCCAAGCGAGAAGCTACTGAGAGAGAAAGAAGGGGAACGAGGAAGAAGAAATAAGATCGGTGGCCTATGAGATAGCCGTAGCCAAGCCTGACATACTTGATGTTCACAGAACTGAGAAAATCTGGAAGCCTTGGTCTCACTCTAACCGAGAAGGAAACAGAACCAGCATCAGGACCAGTGTTGTCAAGCCCTTTCTTCACAATCTCTGTGCTAAACTGCTCACTTTCTCTAGATGACATGCTTAATTAATTTCTTCGATTTTCCTAGCCAGCACACTCTCTGCTCTATATATATACACAAACACATATAAAGAAGAAATTAAAATATTACGTGCAGTTTGTATATCTTCTTCAATTAAAATAGATCAAGTACATATTTTTGAAGAAAGAGAGGAGGCCTAGAGTGCGTGAATGCTAATGAACAGCAGGTTTGAAGCACCATTGAAATTGCATGCAAACAAATCTATTTATATTTCTATGAGCTGATTCAAATCGGAGACGTAAGTAAGTGTTTACGCATTGTTAAATCTTCAAATGATGAATGACACATGTCGGAAAGTACCAATTCTATCAAATTACAATATTAAACTGGATTGGGCCTCGACTTGTTGTCCAAAAATACTGAAGAAGCTGGGCCTCCAAGTTAAGATATCAATGTTTAAGAAGACAAAAACTTCTCTCACTCGATGAGCTCTGAGATAATAACCATGAGTTAAAACATAAATCAGTTCAGTAATAATCATGTTGTTCATCTAGCTGGCTCACAATTAGGTCGGTACGTTTGGATAATAATAATAATAATATATATATATATATAGAAATAAAAATCAACGCCTTACTAAGAACATAACTGAATGATTGAATGAATGACAGCGACCTGATCAGTTGTCTTTATGTACAGTAAAATTATCCTAGCCATTGTGGCTCATTTTATCCAGCATATATATAATGAAGCGTTATATATATATACATATATATATATATATTAGGTTCTAGGAAAATGAGACACACGCTCCTCTTTCTCTATCTTATAATCTATCAATACTTTAGGTGAAGTGCGAACTATAAAGTAATTTAATGGAAAAGCATGTCTCTAGGTTCATTGGCTCAAACGTGCGTAAGGCTGCTTTTTCTTTCTTTCTTTTTTCTTTTTTCTTTTTGCCCAAGTGCATAGGGCTGCTTTGAAACATAAAAAGATAAAACCGAACACAGCTTATAAACAAGATGAAACGCCAGATAAGGCCGAAAACTGTTCTTTTGTCAGCTTCTTTGCCAATGCCATAACCTTTTTTATATGGAGTGGTGAAGGATCGATGCGTTTTTTAATTCAACTAACATATTTAATTTCCTTGGGATGTAATATTTTAACTTCAAGGGCTTGCTTTGTTGACAAGCACTCTTAAAGCAAAGTGCACATGTTCTAAAGGCTTCATATAATTAATAGGCCTTTTCATATACCAAATGGTGTGAAAACTGCGCCTGCGGAGATGGGACTTAATTAGCTAGGGTATGTAAACTATTTTTCATTTTTTAAAATAAAAAAATTTGAAAAAACTTGTCTGCATGAGTTTGTATCAAAATGCCTTCAAAATTATTTTATATATTTTATTTTTAAAAACAAGAAAATAGAAACATTAGAGTTGTTTCTTTTTTTTAATTTAAAAAACATGCTGCATTTAACTAACACTAGAAATTACTTCCATCCATCATCACCACCACTAGTTACCACAAATGGTTACCATTATCGGCTGTCACTATTGGCCATTGGCCATTATCGGCTGTTGTCCACTTATCACTACCATTGATTTCTGCATCAGCTGGTTAATCACCTTTAATTTAGATGCTGTTTGTTAACCACCACTCATCACCAATTAGCATAGACCATCATCAAACACTGTTGAATACCACCATCTGTCAATAATAATTAACAGCTGGTAAGCAGTGGTTTTAAACTAATATAATCAAAGAATTTTTTTGTTTTATTTAAAAAATAACTTTTAAAATTGGATTTATAAAATAGTTTGATGTGAATTGTCTTTTAGAGTTTAAAAATAAACCCTCAGACAGATTTGCTATCTTGCAAAAGATAGCATTAATTTGCATACAAAACAAATTATGAACCACATAAGCTTCATTCATAAAAATATTATATTCAACGCATGATGAAGATCAACTTTTAGCAAACACGATTTGTAACATGTTAAAATTATACATACTAATGCTACCCATGCAAAATACATACACACACACACACTAAATTAGTGAGATTATATTCCATATATTACGTGTATGAAAAAGCAAGTTGTCTTGCTCTTAATTTGCAATTCGCTGTAGAATTTTTATAGATATGTTAATTAATATTGTGTCAATGTTTTTTTTTTAAAAAAAAAACTCTGAGGGAAGAAGCCTTCAGATGAATAGTCTTTGGTCATCAATAAGTAATCAGAAACAAAGAAACAAGGTGGGAAGGTTTGTCGACTTTGTAAATATAATCTAATAATATAAGAGAGAAGTGATGGCAATAATCAAGTTTTTGATTCGACTTAAGGAATAATGCTGTTGGGCTTTAACCAAACCTCATGTTTTCCACAAAAAAAGAGTCTATCATTATATATATATATATATATATATATGGTCTCGCATGTAATGCTTAATTGTTGGCCTTCTACTTTTGGAGGGGTTTGCTTGTTGAGTTCAAACTCTACAAGTCCAAATTCTGAGCAAGGTTCTTAATGTTCCTCATTTCTTTTTCTTTCTTTAATTCCATTATAACCTCAATGAATTTCTATTTTTTGGGTTTATTTTTTTCCCTTCACTTTGAAAGAATTCTTGAGGCGTGAATTATATAACAACAATATGTTTTAACATTAAGCAATCATACATTTATTAATATATACACTCCCTTCAATTCTTAATAAAAGGTAATGTTAGATTTCTTTTATTAAATATACTTAAGAATAGTATACTTTATCAAAATAACTTAAGCCATTTGGTTAAATATTTTCTAAGCTTATATATTTTATGATATATATTTTAATCTTTAGATGTGAGACTTCTTTCATATTTTAATATTTCCTCTCTTTTTTCATTTTTGTTCTTCTTCTTTTCTAGGTTTATACTTTTTTAAGTCTCAGAGGTCTCAGGTTTATTCAATTTATTCTTATTCTTCTCCTTTTGTCTTTCTTTTTTTTAATCTCTTGTTTTTTTTCATATTTCATTCTTTCATTTTTTTTTCTCTTTTTTTTGTCCCCTAACTGAATAGCTCTTGATATCATGTTAGATTTTTTTTATATTAAGTATGTTCAAAAATAATATGCTCTCTCAAAATAGTTTAAGCCATCTGGTTAAATACTTTTAAGTTTATATATTTATGATCTATCTTCATATGAGATTTCTTTTGTGTTCTCGTAGGTAATAGTAACCAACTTTGCTCTTAGTAAAAAGATAATAGTTTTTTTTGTTAATTAGAAATAGTAGTTATTTCCTTCAAATTATTAAAAAAAATGTAACTTTCCAATTTTATTCTTCTTTACAATTAATAACCATAATAAATTGTTGTATAATAACTAACAAAAAAATAAATAAACAAGGAGTAAAACTGGAAAAATATTAATTATTCTAACTTTATCTTTTATTAAGGGAAAAATGTTTTCAAACTTTATCTTATATATTAAATACCGGAGAGAGTAATTAACACAGAAGTAAAATTATGCATATTTACTTCTTCTCTTTATTTATGAGTATGATACGTTGTACAATTATTTCTGTGATTTAAAAAACTGATCAATCCAAGTTTTAACTCCACATCTGCGTTGCAACCGGTGATCTAATTAAGTTCTTAATTAATTTAGTCACGTCCTTACCCTCAATATTAGCTTAACCTGTTGGTTAAGGTAAAATGATTTCATCTATATATACTAAATTAATTAATAATTAATATTAATCAGACAAATCTTCTCTATCATGTGTGTATAAAGAATAAATATATTTTATATTTAAAAGAATACCTTCTCATTAGTCACCTCTTGAAATGATACACAGACTTGTTAGCTGAGAGCTAATCGCATGTAATAAAATGACTATTACAACTAGGGTCCGTTTAAACAAACAGATTGAGATTAGTCTTCCAAAAGAGTAAAAATAAGTTAGATCAAGTAAGGCTTTGGCTAAATAGATTTGACCCTGATCTAAAACTTATATAAAACTTTTTTTACGGCTTAGATCCAAACTTATCTAAAGTTTAGCTTGGCTTAAAAGCCTATTAAAAGTAAGCTTTTAAAATAGATTTAGATATTAGTTTTAAATATTTTAAATATATTTTGAAACTGTTAAAATTTGTATTTATATAACATGATTTATTAATTCCAACGTATAATAATTAAGATGACTTACCAACGTAACTACAATACAATAATAAAATAACAATATTAAAATTAATATATAAGTTCAATCTAATTGAAATAATAAAAAACCGATACATACATATATATATATATATATATATATAATATTGCACAATAATTTGTGTGTAAAGCCTGAGACGCCTAGGTCTATTTAAAATATAGGCTAGGCTATGTTTGAAGTAGACAACACTGTTAAGGACTGACTTATTTTTATCCTTAATTTTAAATCATTTTATTGGCATATAAAATATATGGACAACTAGACAATCGAGATTTAATATATTAATTTATGTAAAGTATGCTTCTAGAATGTCACACCAAGTTCATGTTAAATTTCTGCTAATTAATTTAATTGGGTGCTCATTATGAAAACATGTACGCCAGCAAGGCATACTTACATGAATTAAATATTGGAGGCACTATATGCAATCAAATGTGACTCACGCTTAATTATTTGGATTTTCAGTTCAAATTCTAAAACAATAATGAATAATAAGGTTGAATGGAAGAACATATTAAATCAAAGACACGTGCAGCAAGAAGGAAAAAAAATAAAAATCCTTTCATAAATAGATTAAAAGGTTATCTTTTTATAAAAAAATACATACATATCATAGCAATCTAGAGTGCCTACATAGGAAGCATTTGCATTCGGCGCTCGTCACCACATGCTCACAGCCATTTAGTTGATCTTGGCCTTCCATTTTATCTCAAAATGATTTCTGTAGTTCATTTTAAATAATTTTTTTTATTTTTAATATTGTATTTATTAAAATTAAAATTTATGTAAATTATTAAAAATTTAATATTAAATCTATACTGTTCAAAATGCATCTAGATAGTCATTTTATAAAAATTATGAAAAATTTATTATTGAATTAAATCACCTAAATTATAATATAATTAATTTATCAAATTAAAAAAAATTAATATTAAATTAGTTAGTCCAAACAAAATATGCACCAACCAAATTGATAATGAACAGGTTTTTGTTAAAAATATTAAATTTAATAAAAAATTCTAAATTTGAATGGTCCATATCTCATCATGAGAGACAAGTAATTTGGTGCTTATATGCTGATGAGCAGCGAAAACAGTCTAAATTTAATATTAATTTTTTATTTTTTTATTTTTTAAATTCAAT